TCTGGTCTCAGGCTGAGCCCCTCCTTGGCAGGGACTCCTGGGGTTTTCAGAGCCAAGAGGCACACCCAGAAGTGACTTAGGCAAGCATTAGAGATCTCCCTTACACCCTCAGTGCTGGGAGCTGAGGGTTCCTCTGCATTCCTCCAGCACAGGACATGAAATAGAGCAGAGATCATCACTTGCTTCATGACCTGGGTGTGGAATGAAGACCCGGAGGCTTAGCGTCTCCTGTTTCTTATCCCCTGTGGCCCCCAGTTTACTTAATGCCTGGAGACAGTGTGCTGTAGAGGTTAGGTGTGGGGGCTCCAGAGTCAGATCAGAGCTCAATTCTGTCCTGCTCTTTGTGACCCTGGGTGAATTATTTAGTTTCTCTGTGCCTCAGTTTTCTTATCTGGAAAATGAGGATGATAGAGTGCACTTTGAGTCGCCGTGAAAAATAATTGAGAAAGCACGATAGCTGACACTAAGTGCTCAGAAAATGCTGGTCATGGTTATATATCAACAAGAATGTTAAGTAGAGATGTGACACGTTTTACCAAATGTGAGGTGTTTGGATAACAGAGGTGTTATCCCCATTGTTTTTCTCCATGGCAAACCTCTCACCTGCATTCTTATGAACGTGGTTTCCCATCCTGCCTTTGTTGACCTTATTACCACTTTTGTTTACACTTACTCTGCATGGCTTACATCCCAGTCTTAGGAAGAAATATAATCTAAATTCTTCAAGGGCTCAACTCTGCCTCTGTCAAGAGAGCTCTGAACAGTTCTCTAAGAAGAACATCTGATGTCGAAAGGTGGGCATCTTATGCCCCTAAGGCAGATTCTACCCTCTTGCCAGCCTGGAGAGAGAAGTGAGTCAGGTCACCGAGCCAGAATTAGGATGGAGCCAGAAAGGCCATGAACCAGATCACCCAGTGGACTGAGAGGCAGGAGGCCCGTGTGGGTAGCCAGAGGGCCGGGAACTGGCTGATACAGATCAATGCAATGGACGCATGCTTATGTTGCGGATGGCGCGTGTTGGTGGCCATCAACGTCAGCCACAGAGGCACAAGATGCTCTCAGAGAGTAGATGGAGAAGACAACAGTAGCCAGGTCTAGACTGTGGTTTTGATGGGTCCACATTCTCGGCTCTTCTTATGAAAGATACGATCACATTTATCATCAGGGAGAGAAACAGTCATTAAAGCAAATGTGGTCCCTCCCGCCCCTGCCACCAGCTCCAGGATTTTTTCCTGTGAAGGCCAAGCTCCTCTCTCATGGTCCCAATTTTCTAATTGCCGTCAGAATTCCCTGTGGTCTCCTGCTTTCTAACTTCTGAACCCAGTTTGGGGAAGTGGCTGGTTTCTGGGGCCCGGCGCTAAGTTTCCCTGGCATCTGAGTGTCTGAAGGAGATACAGAGGCCCCGTGGCTTTCTGCCCTGCAGACGATGACCACTGGATCATTGACACGGACTATGAGACCTATGCCTTGCAGTACTCCTGCCGCCTCCTGAACCTCGACGGCACCTGCGCTGACAGCTACTCTTTCGTATTCGCCCGAGACCCCAGCGGCTTTTCCCCGGAAGTGCAGAGAATCGTGCGGCAGAGGCAGGAGGAGCTGTGCCTGGCCAGGCAGTACCGGCTGATCCCTCACAACGGTGAGTGGCGGGTGGGAGCAGGTTCCCCGGGTCTGCAGGCCCTGAGATGCATTACATCTGCATGCAGAAGAAAACAGGGGAGCCTGGGTGCCCCTCTGAGTCCAAGTCTTCGTCCTTCATAACCAGGTCTTTCACTGGCCTTTTCATGAGGCTGATGCAGGAGGACTGGGCACAAACCTTTTTATCCAAAACTCTGGCCCTTTTAGTTAAGTAAAGGGGACAGTCTTTTCCTTTTTTATCTGCTACCTCAGGCCCACTGTGTAGTCACATGATTTTGCTCCTGGCTGCGCTGCCCAAAAAACCATTTTGACCGAATTAATATTGTTTGGGGATTGAGTGGCCCCAGTGAAGAGCTGGGCATCGAATGTGGCCATTGGTGTAAACACTTAAAGAGAGGCAAGTTGACTAGCTGGTTTTCTCACGTTTTTTGAGATTCCCCGACCAGACCAGAGGGTTAGTGGCTCAGTGATGTCTGACTCTTTGTGACCCCATGGACTGTGCCTACCAGGCTCCACTGTCCATGGGATTCTCCAGGCAAGAATACCAGAGTGGGTAGCTGTTCCCTTTTCCATGGGATCTTCCCAACCCAGGGATCGAACCCATGTCTCCTGCATTGCTAGATGATTCTTTATTGTCTGAGCCACCAGGGAAGCCCCATTGAATCTTTTTATGAATATCACCCTTGGCTAATCTTGATTTAAAAACCAGTAGCATTTTGGAGGAGACTGCACATTTTATTTTGAATAGACATTCCCATGGGAATCTGCATTCCAGAATCCAAATAGAATAATGCTAAATTGTAAGAGAAAACAGAGGACAAAACTGAACTTCTCTGTTGGTCATCTAACTAGCTAACCCACACTACACCAAACAGATATGAACCCAGACCAAACACATAAATAAGATTTTGATGCTTCACCTGGGGGTAGCCTAAATATAGGGCAGGCAAAGGATTGCACTCCAGCTGGGCTCCCCACCAAGTCCTTTGCCTGCCTCATCTCACCTAACCCTGGATATACCTTATGAAGTAGGTTTTCTCATGATCCACATACTACAGATGAGAAAACAGAGGCTAAGAAAAAATTACAAAGGTTGCCCAAGATATTCAGTAGATAACTGAGTCAGATGCAAGCCAAGGTTGTCGTGTGACTCTGAAGCCCCTTGTGTCACCACCTGGTGACATATGACAGGGCACAGTGAACATTCTATAAAATTGCTAAAAGAGTAGCCCTCACTTCCTGAATGAGGAGGAGCTACCCTCATCTCTTTGAAATGCAATGAGGCAAATTTAAGACAGAAAGAACACTACTTTATACGGTAGATCCTTTGCTCTCAGACCATACCCCATTCTCCCCCAGAGAAATCAGAGGGTTCAGAAAACCTCGAAGATGTTTATGTATTACAGCTACATCTAGCTGTCCCCTGACAAGAGGCACTTGAACAATGCCAAGCCCTACAGCCATCCTAATATTGACTATATTGAATACTGGGTCCATCTTTCTGTCATTAATAGCTTTGTTTTCTATATTTCAGGTTACTGTGATGGCAGGTCAGAACGAAACACTTTGTAGCAACATGGAAGGTGTCCTTTCATTAGGAAACTTACCATTAACCTTACTCAGCCTCCAACTCTACCTTAGGAGTTTAGTTTGTTGCACCTCCCCTACCTACCCCTCCCACCCCTCGCCTCCCCTCTGTAAACAAAAAAAACCCCTTCAGTATACGTAAAAAAACATACATGGGGATCAGTGAATCTGCTTGTACTCAAATGTATGTCTTCTCTGGAGTTTTCTAAGGAATCGTTTGAGGTTTAGGATTCCAGACTTTGACTTATTAAAATATGTATAGTTACCCATTTCCAATGATTTGGGTTTTTATTTGTGTCCACGTCTGTGTAAGAGTGAAAAGTCCTGCTGGTGGTGGGGTAGGTGCGCATTTATGTACTGGGAGGGGTTCTTCTCTTCCAGTTCTGACCTTTGGCCTGTTCTAGCACCTAATCTCCATTATTAATGACTATGTCTTCTCTCAACTTCCTGAAAAAGGGATTTCCCCATTAGCCCAGGACAGCCTTGATGATTGAGGCCTAAAGAGGTGAATGTGGGCCAGGCCAGCAGCCCCAGCCTCAGTCAGCCCAAGGCCTGTGAAGTGGGTGGAAGCTGGTCTGAGAGGCCTGGGTCTAGGGGAGCTCTAGGAAAGATCCCCAGGCCTTATTGTCCAGCACCTGCTTCCCTGGGGGAATTAAGAGATGGGACTCTGAAACCAGGTGTGTTGGAAGATCATGGCATCCCCTACCTGGAGTGTCCGGGTGATGGGGGTGGAAGTAGCCAGGCCTGGCGAAGGACACCAGTGTCTTCTACCATTAGCAGCACTTGTAAACACTAATCTATAATATAACTGTGTGCAAAGTCGTATGCCTCAATTTCCCAGGAGCTCCTAGGAGCCTTTTATCATCTTGAAAAGGCATCAAGGCTTTGGTACCAGAGTCTTCGTTTTGCATCAAAATCCAGCTCAGCTATAATTAGCTGTATGACTGGGGACTGATTGCATGATTTCTCTGAGCCTCACTCTCCTCTTGTGAAATATGGGGAAGCAGTGTCCACCTGCTGGGCTGCAGTGAGGGTTCAGTTAGAGCACTTAGGAGCTGTGCAAACACTGGCGGATGCCAGGCTGACGTTGATGAGGTGTGTCCGGAGGCGGGGAGCCTCCCATGTGTGCAGAGACCTCTGCCTGGGTGCTGCGGTATCAAGGGGCCATGAGGCTCCCAGGGCCCTGAATCACTGTTCTTTGTTCTTCCACCAAAGGGGGAGGAGGCAGGGGAACACACACAGGAGAGCTCTGCCTGTCATTCACCAGAAAGGGGCTGCCAGAGCTGGGCTCTTCAGCAGTGGCTGTCACCCCAGAGACCTGTAAGACAGTCACACATTGCTTCAAAAGGCAACTTTAATGGACCAAATTTATTAACTAAAGATGAACAAAGGATCCCTGTCCTCTTGTCCTCAAGCTTGTGATAAATCTTACTTCGAAAGTGAGCTGCTCAAGAAATTCCACCAATAAAGACAGCTACTGGCTCCAACTTCCTTGGTGACAAAGATTGGTTGCGCTCATACTATGCACCAGGCCCCTAGCTACTGTTCCAGCCATTCTCCCAGCTTCCAAGTGCTGGCGTGTCCCTGGGTTCTCTCTGGCTCTGGTTTCTTCTCTCTTTTTTTTATAACCCTATATCTGTGCACACTCTGTTGTGTCTCCCCACTGTTCTTTTGGGGTGTGTCCCCCAGCGCTGTGTCTCCCTCTCGGGTCTCTCTTTTTTTTTCTCTGTGGTTTTTCATGTGCATGTGCCCCATGTGACTCTTTTTTTTTTTACCTCCCATCCTCCTAGCCTTCTCCATTTTTGCTGCCTGCCCTCCGTCCTATGGCTGTCAGAGTCTCTGTTGAATCCTCTCTTTCCCTCACATTCTGTATCCTGTCAATCAATAAATCATGTTTGCTCTGTCTTCCCAAAGTATGCCCAAGATCATTTCTCACAATCCCCCGCTGATGTCTGGAAGATGGTGAGGGACAGGGTAGCCTGGCATGCTGTGGTCCATGGGTTGTGAAGAGTTGAACATGACTGAACAACAACAGCGATGTCATCCGCCTCAAACTTCCCCATCTTCCTTCTTTACTTTGGCAGCTGCCTAACTGGTGTCCATTTTCATTCTTGCTCCACAAAGCATTTCCTGAACAGGGCAACCAGAGCAATATTTAAAAACAAATAGCAGGTCATATCCGCATCCAAATGCAAATCTCCAGTGGCTGCCCGCTGAACACAGAACAAATTCCAATGGTAGCCTCCCTAGCCCGGTATAAGCCAGCCCTGTAACCCCTCTCGTCTCCATTGATGGCCTCCAGCAGAGCATCCCTCTGTTCTGGTTTCAAGGACAGGGCCTGGCCTAGAGGAGGCTTAGTCAATAGTTTGCTTTGTTCATGCCGGTCTTTCTGTCCCACAAGCACACAAGTCTCTTTGCACCAGCACCAGGGTCTGCTCCGTCTGCAAAGCCTCATTCCCCGGATTCACATGACTGGTTCCTCCTTGTGGTTTGCCCTTTTGACTCAAATATCACCCCTCAGAAAGGTCTTCCCAGGCCCTTCAACACTCCATCTAAATTGTCATCACCGTCCCATTTTCTTCACAATGTTAATTCACTCTGTAACACTATATGATCTATTGACATGTTTGGTGTTTCTCTGCCCCGTCTGGAAGGTAAGTGAGCTCCATGAGGACACGGTCCGTGGATGTCTGGTTCACTGCTGTATTCCCACCACCAAGAACACTGACCACGTCATTGGTCAGGCTTAAGCCTCAGCACGTGCTTAAGAGGCATCTGACAGGTGGATCAAGGAAGGGAGTCACTCCTGCTCTGACTTTTGAATGTTTGGGGTCATCCGACCTCCTCTGTGACTTCATGACAAAGCTTCTCCTATTATCAGTGATGAACAAAGTCACCTTTAAGTCCTTGGAAATTAAATTCTTGTTCCTTGGAAATTCCTCAAGCACTCTTCACACTGATGAATGATCCTACAGCCTTGCAAGTCCAGGGTGGGGAGTGAGGGTGGCTGTGACTCTTTGGAGGAGAAGACTGAGTCATGAATCCAAGCCTCACTTCAGGCTCACTGCACAGCGAGGCTTTACATATAGGAGATGAGATTGCTGAATAGTCACAAACAAAAATTAATACAATTAATCATATTCCACACCGAAGAAGTTCACATTGAAAAGGAACCCACAGCAAATCCTTCTATACAGGATAAAACTGTTATACTGAATGATCACCTCTTAATTTACCAGTGCTGAAAATGGGCATCTGCATAGGTTACATTTTCTGAGAGCGGGTACCATAGCCAAGGGTCATGGAAACGATCTCCCTTTGAAAACACACCATGGCTGGCCAGAGGGGGAACACATAGATGCCTGTAGAGAAAAATGAACTAGCTGGAAATAACAGACAGATCATTTCTCCTGACAGACATGTCTGTCAACATGGCTCCCTTTTCCGACAAGAAGCAGCAGTGGAAAAACCTCCTCCACTCGTTCCTAAACAGGGACATGTTGTAGAGAATGGGGTTGACGGCCGCGTTGGCAAAGGTGAAGGCCATCACCCAGAAGAAGAGGGACGGCCAGATGACCAGATTCTGCTTGAAGTTCTGGATCAGGATGAGGAGGATGGTGATGATGATAGGGCTCCACATGATGAAGAAGGATATCATGAGCAGGAAGAGGGTGCGGAAGAGCCGGACGTCCTGCTGGGACACGCGCAGTTGGTGGCTCTCTGAGTAGGCCAGGCTCATCGTTAGCCTCTTCCTGGATGCCTTCGTGATCTGCAGGAACACAAAACAGAGCCAGAGCCACGGTTTATGGCAGGACATCAGCGGGTGCCGCTCTAGGAGGACCAGAGAAGCCCCAGGAGCTAGAACCTGCCATCCTTGCTGCACTGGGACTGTTTGGCTTTGGAGCTTTGTGCGCAGAGGGCTCCCTCCTCAGAAGCCTGACTCTCCTCCCACACTAAGGATGCACTGGAGAAATGGGGCAGCTGGCCTCCTGAGAATAAGGCCGAACTAAATCCATGCTTTAAATAGTGTTGATGTACACTGTGTGTGCTGTGCTAAGTCGCTTCAGTCATGTCTGACTCTTTGCGACCCCATGGACTATAGCCCACCAGGCTCCTCTGTCCATGGAGATTCTCCAGGCAAGAATACTGGAGTGGGTTGCCATGCCCTTCTCCAGGGGATTTTCCAATCCAGGGATGAAACCTATGTCTTTTACATCTCCTGCACTGGCAAGCAGGTTCTTCACCACTAGCCTCACCTAGGAAAGCCAGATGGGAGAGTCTGGAAGAGAGATGTGTGAAACAGAAGCACACTACTGTGGTCTGAATGTGTCCCCACCGAGTCCATGTGTTGAAACCTAACCCCCAAGGATATGTTATGAGGAGCTGTAATAACAGCTGCCCCAGTAGGAGCTGCCCCAATTAGGTTAAGGGAAGAAGCCCTCATCAAGGGGATTAGTGCCCTTATGAGAGGCCCCAGAGTGCTCCTTTGGCCTTTCAACCCTGTGAAGACAGAGAGAACTCAGTCTGTAACCCAGAAGAGCGCTCTCATCAGGATCCCACCATGTTGGATTTCCAGCCTCCAGAAATGGAGAAATAGGTTTGGTGGGGGTTTGGGGGGAATTGTTTATAAGCCACCCAATCTGTGGTATTTTGTTATGTCAGCCCAAACAGATAAACATCTCTCCCGTTATTTCTTTTTTTGAAAGTGTTAAGTAAATTGATTATATAAAATCAGTATATACTCAAAGTTACAAGCTGTTTGAGAACCATCTCCCAATCATGAAGGTCTGTTGGCACCACCAGCAGCTATATGGAGACCAGAGGAAACTGCCAGCAGAGAGAAACAATCCCCTCACATGGGAAAGCAGGCAGGTTCCTTGTCTGTGAGGGAGATGGGAGTCACTGACAGAACAGCCCTTCCTTTCTCCTTCCACACACCCAGCCCCCAATTCCCGTTCTGTGCTCTAGAGATGGGGAAGCTTTAAATTGGTCCTCAGATACATTGTTTGAAATAAGCAGGCATATCCAAAAAAGTGACTAGAAAGTTCTGAAGTCAGATTGAGGTGTCTTTAAAGATTCCTGCTCCCAGTAAGAAAGAGGAACTGGTCAGATCACTGCTAGTGACATGTGTTGAAAAACTGAAACCATTTCCTATTTGTACCCCCAGGTGAGAGATGACAACAGGTAGGATTAATCTTTGTACATATCTTTGCACACCTAGATGCACATATCAGTAGAATAAATTCCCAAGAGTGGAACTGCAAGGATCTCTAATATTTTGTACTAATGGGCAAGGTCAGCTTTAGAGCAGAGGGATTGCAGACAAGCAGGCTACTCTGGTGATATGGGTTCAGAAGGGCGTTATGGACTCTTCTGTCATGAGCCCTTGCAGGCACTGCTGTCTGGGTTTTCTGTCCAGTCTTTTCTGTTCAGTTAGAGGGTTTTGCTTCAGCGTCGGTCAGAGAGGCTGGTTACTGGTTGACAGTGGGCAGCCTTGCATGTGGAAATGGTCCATCAACTAAGGCAAGCTGACCAGATTAAAATAAAGCCCTGCATGTCTTTTCACCCCACTGTCCCATGTAAAAGTAGTATTTTTGGAACAGACAAATGTTTCATAACATCTCAGAACCAGAGTATTGGAGCTAGATGGGCCTGTGCAAAGTTGGAGTAGCACTGCTCAGACTTCACTCTGCCTGTGAGGCCTTCAGCACTACTATGTTTAAATGTAGATTCTGACTTTGCAAGGACCACACTCTGAGTAGCCAAGGCCTACCCAACCCTTCTTTCTACAGGTGGGGCAACAGGCCCCCGGAGAGAGGATTTAGCCAAAGTACTTTGAAAACAGGAGTTGTGGAACTATTCATGTCTGGGAGCAAAAACCCTACAGAAGCCGAGTCCCTGAGAGAGGAGCTGGGGCTGCTGTTTAACTGCGTCTTCCAGGCACAGGCTGGTGGGCTGGCCTGACCTCCCCAGAGGTTCTAAAGAGCCCAGTGCTCAGGCTCAGGCTGCCCTGGGCATACTCACAGTGTCCTGCCCTTCCACCTACTTCTAGTTGTCCTCTAAGTACAGCCAGAAAGCAGGAGGCCTGCCCTCCCCTATCACTTGCTCAGCTTTAGGGGTGCCAAGAGGTGGGGGTTGAGAACAGAGGCTGGGGGTGGGAGTGAGGGGTAGGCTGGTACACAGTTAGCCCAGTGGAGCCCTGGACCTACTAGCCTGACATGCTCTGTTCTAGCCTACGACCTCTGTCCTAGGGAAGAGATCCAATCCTGAATGTCTTACCACATTTGTGGTGCTTGCTAACTTTCCTTTGCTTAGTCTGGCCCTGTGTCCTTCTGCTTTTCCTGCAGGAGCAGTCTTCTGGCCACACAAAGAGAGCTTACATGTCTGGACATTTTAATAGCCAAAAGTCTTATCGTTAGCTCTGCCCTGGCCTTCCGAGGACCATTGCCCTAAATTCTTGACTCTCAAGAAGTGAAACAATTAGAAAGTAATTAGATTCATTCAAATTTGGGGCCAGATTAACTCTAAGATCTGAATGGCTTTAAGTAGTCTCTTTAGAATGCTTCTAACTAGCTAAAGAACATGCTGTGCCATGCTAAGTCGCTTCAGTCGTGTCTGACTCTGTGAAACGCTGTGGACTATAGCCCGCCAGTCTCCTCTGTCCATGGGATTCTCTAGGCAAGAACAGTGGAGTGGATTGTGGCGCCCTCCTCAGCTAAAGGATAGCCATTTTAATTGTCTTATGGTTACATGAAATTATTTCTGTGCAGTAGTTTTGGTCTGGGCAACGGACACTGAATGGATAGAACCCCTTCCTTCCCACCATGAATAACAGGAATTGTGATCACCAAGCTTTATGGAAGGCCCTCTGTGTGCCAGGCATGGTACTATGTATTTATTTTATAAATTATCACATTTCATCTTCACAACTTCTCTTTGGATTTGTACTACTATTATTATTGTCTTCACTTCAGAGATGAGGAAACTGAATCTCAAGAAATTTGAGTAGTTTGTTGAAGTTCACTCCACTGATGCTAAATGGCTAAAGCCACCATCTGGGAAAATCCAGCTCAGGTGACCTGAATATTAGCGATATCATTAGTGATATCATAAATGGCTCCAACGGGGCTGCCTTCCTCCTGGCTGTTGTGCGCTGCAGTGGGGCTGTTGCTCAGGAGACGTGACCCACCATCTCAGACCCACATGCTAGAAGTCATGTTGGCACATCCAAGTTGGAAGGTGCTGTGTAGAATCAAAATTAGAAGATGTGTTCAGGTGAAAGCTGGGTAATCTGAGATCTTGGATGGTAGACCTGGGAGGGTGACAGCTGCCCAAGGGCAGGTGGAAGGGCTGCAGGCAAAATGGTACCACTTCTGAATAGCCTAAGTGTAGCCTGGTGAGCACACACGGATGATTCCAGCAGCAGCCTCATTGCTAGTGCTGTCCACATTGCTCTGCCAAGTAGGATGGAGTCCTTGGTACAGTGGCTTTTAGATTTTTTTTTTTTTTTTTTTGCCAAACCACATGGCTTGTGGGATCTTAGTTCCCTGACCAGGGATTGAACCCGGGCCCTTGGCAGTGAAAGCACAGAGTAACCACTGGACCACCAGGGAATTCCCTAAAAGTTTTTGGAGTAAATGATGTAAATGAAAGTTCATCTTTATTGAGCACTTCTTATGCGCCAAGCCTCTGTGCATATCACTTGGCTTATCTCTTTAAATTCTCCCAATGATTCTGTGACTTATGTACTTTGATGATCCCCATTTTACAGAGGAGGAAACTGAGGCTCAAAGAGGTTAAGGAGATTGCCCAACAGTACCCAGCTAAGCAGCTGCAGAGCTGGACTTCAAACCTTGGCAGTCTGTCCATGCTTAAACTAATTCCTTCCCACCCTCTAATATCTCCAACAGTAGCACTCCTTCTGTCCAGCCTGTAACTCCAAGCTCTAATGCTGGGGACATCCTGGTTCACCTCCCGTTGGCACCCTGCAGCGCTTTGTTTCAGGTGCTCACGTGGCACTTGCCACATACTCTCAGGTAGATGTTGAAGCATCGTTCTTACCTCTGAGTCCCACAGGCTGCAGCTCCCTGGGGGTTGGGCAGCCCTGTGGCTTCTGTGGTCCAGGGCTCTGGCAAGGGCCTGACAATGACTATGAGCAGACAGCGAAACAGACTGAGTCATGAGCCAAGTGAATATGTGGTTGGCTCTTTTTTTAGCAACGACTGATGCTCCCATTTCCTTCCATCCACAGTTCCCACAGCTTTGAGGGAGCGAGAAGGAAAATGGGCCCATTATAAACAAATGTGGCTCTTCCCCCGCTCCCTTCCCTACTTTAGATGACATGACTAACCAACTTTCATTCAGGGTTTAAAGTGTCTCTGGCATGCACTAAATGCCTGATGTACTTTTAGATCAAATTAAATGCTCGATTAACTTCTGAGGATTAACTTTAATCCTTAAAACAAGCCTATCAGGTATGTTCTGTTATTTTGGGGAGAGAGACAAGACTCTGAGAGGTGAAGTGACTTGCTCAGGGCCTCACAGTCAAGGTGGAGAAGCACACCTCAGGGGGAATGCTCTTCACCGCCCGGGACACCCTGCAGCTTCCAGAACAGAGGACAGAGCTCCCAGGAACCTGGCCCACAGCCGCCCCCATCAGGGTCACTGGCGCTTAATACAATGCACATACATGTGTCCCCCTTCAGACACTGATTCTGTGGGTCCGAGTGGCCTCAAGAATGCGCATTGTTCATTAACTCCCCAGGTGCTTCTCAATCTCTAAAATATGAGA